TACTACTACTACTACTACTACTACTACTACTACTACTACTACTACTACTACTAGAACAACAACATCGGTAAAAGCTGGAAATAGCTCACCATGTTGACGCTGGGGTAAGCAGGAGGGTACCACAAGACAAGAGCTCGGACGCCGGTGGACTGTCGTTGGTGCCGGCGAGCCGCAGACTCCTCCTTATATTGCGAGTCCTATCTGCATTTTACTGCCCCACTAATGCGCGAAAGCGGCCTTGCCAGTTTCTCAAAGCGAGGTGCACAAAAACACCAAGCCGAGCACATGTTTGCATTCATCAGTTTTACTGTCCTGTTTATTGTCTTGGCGGACTTTTGATCTTAGCCCTTCGGCAATAGAGAAGAACCACTGGTGTGTTTGGTGGCCACTATTAAAGCCGGAATGGGAAAAAAAAGAAAAGTGACAATGTTTTGGTGGTTTCTATTCAGCTAAAGTAGATACGTGCAAGGCCAATTTAGGTTTTTACAAAAGTGTTGTTGTTTGTTTGGTTGTTTTTTGTTGTTTTTTTTTGGGGGGGGGGGTTCAAAAAGTATTTTACCGCGCTTGCAAGTGTCTAAGGTTATATGAGCGTGCGCACACATGAAACATTTTCAGTTGATAGAAAATTTTGAATTTTGCCCAGGTGGCGGCCAAAGCTTGCTCTTATAAAGACTACCGAGGGATCTTTAACGTGCCCAACTTGCACAAGGGACCTCCGAGATTTTCGCCCTCAACTTCTAGACCACCAGAGCCCCAGTTACAGTTTTATATATAATGTTATAGTGGCTTTATTGAAGTCAGTTAGAAATTGAAAATAGGAGAATATCTTTTTCCAACAAGGTAAACAATCTAGGTATCTTTTAAAATTCAGATATGTCCATGAACAACCAAGTAAATCATTTTATTCGTTGTATTATGTATCTTGGTCTCATGAGAATTAGTAAAATAAGGCACCTTATTTCAATCAATGTCGCATGCATGCTCTCTGTCCCTCTTGTCTTGTCAAAACCTGACTACTGTAATTCTGTTCTGTCTGGTATTTCGTGTGAACGAATGAGGAAATTGCAAGTGGCCCAAAATAACACCACAAGACTAGTGCTGATGAAAAAGAAGAAAAATCCTGCATTGAAAATGTTGAAAGCTCTGCATTGGCTTCCAGTTGATAAAAGAATCCGATATAAAGTTTCTACCCTCTGTTTTAAATGTCTTAACGATAAAGCCCCGTCCTATCTATCTGAGTTTTTAACACTGTATGTTCCATCTCGTCAGTTACGGTCATCCACAGATGCAACAAAATTCAGAGCCCCTAGAATGAAATTACGATCTTTTGATGGGAAAAGTTTCTTCTTTTTTTTGCCAAAAAATCTGGAACACCTTGTCTCAGGATCTCAGAGGAACAACATATTTTGACAGGTTCAAACGATTGCTCAAGACTCATTTGTTTAATTGTTAGTTATAATGAGTTAGTAAGTTCTATAACATTTTCTCCTTTCAACCTCCTTTCCCTGACAATGTTCTGCCGTCTGCTTTTGTCTCCACTTTCTGCCCCTACACCTTCCCCTCCTTTGCCCCCTCATCTGAGCTCCTGACTCTTTCTGCAGCCTCTCTACTGCTTCTCCTTTGGCTCCTCCTTACTGCTGTCTTTCAACCACACCCCTGATCTTCTGGTAGGAAAGATCCACACCTAGTCTTCTCGGATAAGGTTGAAAAATCTCGGATGTCCCGTGTACAAGTTGAGCACGTTAACCTTGGTGGTCCTAAAATCGATAAGAATAGGCTTCGGCCGCCACCGGGGCAAAATTCAAAATCAATTCCAACCAAACTGAAAATATTGAATGTGTCCAGCACTCAAATGACCTTAAGCAGTTGCGAGCCCCGTAAAACACTTGCCAAACAAACAAACAAAAAGATATGAGTCAGGCCAAAGTAATTTTCTACTTACGTCTTTTACATTCAATTGTTTGAGGAGGCACATTGAGGAGCTATTTGCTCTACTTTGTAAGTAAAAAACGATAACATTATTCATACACAAAGGGATGGGGCGATTCATCTCGGCAAGTTCTGGCATGGTTTGGAATTCAGCATACCACAAAACGATTTCTGAGCGCCTCACAAACTTAACTAACCTCTATTGGACCCCCCAATTGAGTCATTCCAGTTTCAAAGAAAGCCAGGAACACAAAACACTACCTCTGAATTTCAAAGTTCTTTCTGCTCAGTGCTAGTTTTGAGAAATCTGACGTCAAAGATTTTGAGTTCTATAGCATAATATCAAGCTTTTTCGAATGCAATTCTTTTAATATCTTGATGACGATTCCGAATAATCTCACGATTTTTGATAGAGGAGATAAAAGATTTTGTTTATCACCTCGTGGTCTCGTAACTCAAAACGGCCAAAAATGTAGTATAGA